GCGCTGCAGCCTGTTCCATGCCTGCCTCAGACACTTATATGCTGGCTGTGTGCCTCCCACTTGTTACTGAGCTTCATTTCTCACATCTACAAAATGAACAGTGTAATATTCACATCCTAGAGTTTTGGTGAGGCTTAAGTGAGGCAGAAGTTTAAATACGCCAAATGGAATTACTATTACTGTTACTCAAAACAATTGAGTTATTATTGACAAATGCAATGCCTACCTTTAAAAGAAATGCACACAACTTTTGAAGTAGTGTAGGGAATAAAATATGGTAAAGTGCACTATGATAAAGAAAACATGTTTACTGACATCTAAACAAGTTAAAAAACAACAGTTATGAATTATAAGTGGAGTTTCACAGATGCAGGAAAAATCAAACAAAAATTTTATAAATTATTCTAAAAAAAACACACCTCAGTTAATGGTTGATCTCAGAAAGATGGAAACCTGTGCAGGACTATATTTTAAGAATTTGCAAAGCTAAGAAAAAGTTTTTGAAATGCAAGGGATAGTGATTCTTTTAAAGTGAAGTTTTAAAAATATGTATTTGAAGCTGATTATGTTCCAATTCAAATACTTGTAGAGTGCCACTTGTTAGATAATCAATCCCAGATAACAGATCAGAGTGGAATATAATTCTACACAAAGATAAAAAGACTATATTCCCTAAACACAAAAAGCCCAACTTACTTAACTTTCTTTACAATTGCAATTGCCTCCTATTTACCCTGTTTCCCCTAAAATAAGACAGTGTTTTATATTAATTTTTGCTCCCAAAGATGCGCTAGGTCTTATTTTCAGGGGATGTCTTATTTTTCCATGAAGAAGAATACGGTACACATTTATTGTTAAATGAAAATAAAGGAAATTTATTACCTATATATGGTACGGTAGTACGGTAGTTGTCAACACAAACCAGATAAACTGAATCCTACAGTATCAAGAATTTACTCATTTATTCAATGACAATCATGTCATCATCTTCTGGAACATCATCATAACAATCCAATTCCTGAATTTCCTGGTGAATTTCTTGTGACTCCATTTCTTTCAGAATCAGTGGACCAAATCTCTCATGTTTAGCCTAGGGGGGCCTTATTTTCGGGGGGGGGGGTACCTTATATTTCACTCAGAAGGAAACCTGTAAGTAGTTCTTATTACACTGTAGGTGTTTACTTCGCTTTCACTAGAGCTTTTAGTGGAGGGGGTGTAACCTTTAATAGTTTCTGCTCAGTCACTGACTTTATTGTGAAAGCTATTTTGATGTCCAGTTGTGAAAGCCTAGCGAGTCTGCATAAAGAGATCCACTGGACTCCAATGCTGCTAGTTAGTCGACCTCTTGACCTTTTTAAGGCTTTTGTTTTATATTTAACTGTTCCCATCTAGTCCTGAATTTGGCCTCTTTCATTTGCTAATTTGATCCTCAGGCACCTACAGCCTCAAGCTGTGGGTTCTGCTCTTCTCACACCACCAGACTGGCATCTCCGCTCATCCACAGGGTCCTTGAGAGCTGGCCTTAGGCTGAGACTCAGTGGGCCTTCCACATCCCCAGTGGACCACACTCATCTGCAGCTGGTGGTCCAGGGCCTGTTGGTATGTGGGACAGGGTTACTCACACCCTTGCTAACTGTATATTAGCCAACTGTTCCCCTCCTTCACAATTTCTTCTTTTCTCCACCCTCAACTGTGTTATATCCTTTAACAGCTCTTACATTTTCCCCTCAAAAATCCTCTCTCTTTACTATTCAAAGTAGTGCATTAGATGGTAAAGAAACAGAACTATAACGGGGCCACATATATAATTTTTAATTTTCTAGTGGCCTCATTGAATGGTAAGAAGAAACAGGTAAAATTGATTTTAATACATTTTCAACTGAATGTGCCAATATATTATTAAGACATGTAATCAATATAAAAAACTTAATGAGATAGTTTAGATTATAGAATATTCTATATTTACATTTCATTTCCAATTAGCCACAGTTCAGGTGCTCCATAACCACATGTAGCTACCATATTTGACAACACAGTTCTAATTTTTGCCTAGAAACACAGAAAGCCAAGCTTTCAATATTTCTCATTGCATTTCTTCTTTTGTTTTTGTCAGCTCTAATGAGTTATAATTTACATCCAGTAAGTTATCGTTTTTAAGATTACAATTCCATGAGTTTTAACATGTATACAGTTGTGTAAACACCAACATAATCATGATATGAAAGGGTATTTCCATCCTCCAAAATTTCCTCCACAGTTCATTTCCTTTTCATATCCCTGGGCCCTAGAATCCACTAATTTGCTTTTTATAATAGTTTTGTCTTTTCTAGGATTTTATATAACTGGAATTATACATAACTTATCTTTGCTGTCTAGTTTTGTTCACTTTGGATAATGTTTTTGACATTCTACTTGTAGATCAGTAGTCCCATATTATTGTTTTGTAATATGCTGTTGTATGGATATACCATAATTTGTTTGTTTATTTACCCCTTAATGGTTTTATGGATTATTTCCATGTTTTTTTTGGTGATTATAGCATTGCACTAATGAAACAGATACGCTCTCCTAAAAGATTGCTTATACCAAGCACACTTTTGCCTGAAATAAATGTATGTTTATGTTGGGGAGATGTAATAGATCTTCACTTAAAATGGTGTGGTTTGGTGGTTGAGCAGCCATAAGTTGATCCTCAGTCAGGGCACATGCCTGTGTTGTGGACTCGATCCTCAGTAGGGGGGAGGTGCAAGAGGCAGCTGATCAATGATTTTCATCATTGATGTTTCCATCTTTCTCTCCCTCTCCCTTCCTCTCTAAAGTCAATAAAAATATATTTTTAAAAGGTAAGTATAATAGCAACAACATTTTTTAAGAGCAATTTTATGTTCCCAGCAAAATTGAGGGGAAGGTACACAGATTGCCTATATACCCTCTGCCCCCACACATATATTACCATCTCACACCAGAGTCATACATTTGTTACAACTGATGCACCTACACTGACACATCATCACCCAAAGTCCTGATGTAAATGTAATGTGTGGTGTTTGAAATTTCAAATTCCACTTGTTCATTGCCAGTATAGCTGAAGGTTTTTTGTAGGTGTGCTTTATCAAGTTGAAGTAGTTCTCTGGTTCTTTTCTTTTAAACCTTTGTTGTTGAGAGTATTATAGATGCCCCCCTTTTTCCCCCCCATTTCCCTCCTCCACCCTGCCCCAGGCTTTCACCACCCTACTGTCTGCATCCATAGGTAAAATCTTTGGTTAATCTCTTCCCACCCTCTCTTCCCTCTACCCCTTGAGATTCTTCAGTCTGTTCCATGTTCCCCATGCCTTTTATTCTATTTAATTTATCAGCTTATTTGTTCATTAGATTTCTTGTTCGTTTATTTTCATTTTTAGATTCAATTGTTGATATATTTATGTATTTGTTTCCTCCTCTTCCTTCTCCTTTTCCTCCTCCTCCTTCTTTTCTTCCTCTTCTTTATTCTCCTCCTTCTTCTTCCCCCTCCTCTTCCTCTTCCTCTTCTTAAAGAATATCCTTCAATACTGGTTTTGTGGTGATGAGCTATTCCTTTTTTTCTGAAATTTGATTATAAATGGGTATTGGAATGGTCAAACATTTTTTTTCTCCATCAACTGATTTTTCTTTTCTTTAGTTAAATATATTTTTATTGATTTCAGAGAGGAAGGGAGTGATAGAAACATCAACGATGAGAGAGAATCGTTGATCAGCTGCCTCCTGCACACCCCACACTGGGGATTGAGGCTGCAACCCTGGCATCGAACCTGTAACTCTTTAGTCCAAAGGCTGACTCCCTATCCACTGAGCCAAACCAGCTAGGGCTTATCTTTCTTTCTTTCTTTCTTTCTTTCTTTCTTTCTTTCTTTTTTATTTTTTTATTTTTATTTTTTTATTACTTTTAATTAATCAAAAGTAAATGGACACAAATAACTAAGAAATAGCCTACTTAAAATTAAGGACTAGCTTACAAAACTGAGGTGCAGTGCAACGCAAGAAACTGCAATACTGTCTGGACGGAGAAATAGGCGTGCCCCAAATAGAATAACAGAGGAAGTGAATGACCACTACTGCACATTTTTTATACTAATTTTTCTATTTTTTATTTTATTTTCATCTTTTACATCTTTTAGTTTATTCCCATTTTTTACATCTTTTACTTAAGAAACAATTTTTTTTTCTTTTTTCCTCACTTGACTTTACCTTTGCAGTTGTTACATTTTTCAATTTAAATCATCATTATTACTACTGCTATTTTGCATTTTTTGTTTCCTTTTTTTTTTTAAGTACCATTTTAATTTCTTTGGCTCCCTTTTTAATCAGGTTGTTTGTTATTGTGGAGTTTAAAAAGTTACATTTATATTTAGGCTATTGGTATTAGGGTTGTGCTGGCCCCATAGAATGAATAATTTGGGAAATACTTTTTCCACTATCCTCTGAAAGACATTGTAGGTAATTGGTATTACTTCTTTCTTAAATCTTTCACAAAATGTACAGGTTAACCCATCTGGGCATGTTGTTTTCTGGTTTTGAAGGTTACTAGTTACGGATTTATTTTCTTTAATAGAAATAAGCTTATTAGGATTGTCTTTTTCTTCTTGTGTGAGTTTTGGTTAATTGTGACTTTCAGGGAATTAGTCCTTTGTCATACTTCTAGTTTCCATAGAATTTGTACTGATGAGTGATGTCCTTTCTTTCATTACTGATATTAGTAATCTGTGTCCTCTCTTGTTTCTCAAAAGAGAAAAGCTTGTTTATTTTATTGATCTTTTCAAAGTCAATTATTTGTTTAATATTAACAATTTCATAAAATAGTAATTTGTTTCTTTTGTGATGTCCCAAGGCCAAAATCAAATTTATCTATAAATTTCAGTGGTAAATTATAATTTTAATCCTATTATAAAGTTAATTGCTCATGTCTGTGTTAGGTGCAGTGCTAAGCTATGGGATGTGCCCTCATATTCTTCATTAAGGTATAGACCCTCATAGTCTAGTGTTCTAAATGAGATTATGTTAAATTTGTAAGGAAAATAATAAACCAACTAAGTGCCCAGTTTCCACAGGCATGTAAACTATTTTGGTTAAAACTGAGTATCTTAGATGATAGATACCTGTAATACCAATTAGTTACTTACTTTCATTAACTTGTTAACAATTTTATTAAGTACCATTCATGGAGAAGAGGAATAGAGAGGCATACCCTGAGTCTGCATTCAAATTCTAGATCTACCCCTTAGATTAGCTGCCTAGCCACTCTGAGCCTCAGTTCATACAACTGTGAAATGGGGTTGAAATGACACTCAGTGTTGTTATAATGAATTATTGAATTGTTACATGTATAATAGTTAGATTATTGCCCAGTATATAGCAGACTTTCAATAAATACTTAGTATTGTTCTTATTAAACATAAAGTTAATGAATAGGACCAGGACCTGCAAGAACACCAGAGGACACTAGGTGGCAGCGCTGAGGCCCTGTTTTCACATTCCTAAAGCCCGGGTCTGTGCCTGACTTTTACCACCTTTACCACTTACCTGTCATGTTCAAATTATGAAGTTTAGGAGCTTTGAACTAGGACTCTGGACTTGTTAGGTTACGCAATTCTACAACGTACAAGATGTGTGTTTTCTATAAAGTCACTTAATTTCTCTTTTTCTTCCTTTTTTTCTTTTTATGTCAAAGAGCCAAAAACACTCTTATTTATTCAGAGTTTTTCTATGAGGGAAAAAGAAAACTTGGGAATGTGATTTCTAAATCACAACTGGTTATAAAAGTGTTAATTATAAAATTATGATCTGTTTTTGAGGTTATTGTTGCTTCTTTAAGCTCTTAGGGGAGTGATGAAAGAGCTCTGAGTGGAACAGAGCTGTTAGAAAGTAAAAGTGTCTTAAGAAGTACAAATTGATAGTTACAGAATAGTCATGGAGATATAAAGTATAGTATAAGGAATATAGCCAATAAAATTCTAACAACTCTGCATGGTGTCAGATGGGCACAAGACTTACTGGGATGATCACTTAGTAAATTATGTAATGTCTAATCACTGGGATGGGGTATATACCTGAAACTAATATAATATTGTATATATGCCGAAGCTGGTTTGGCTCAGTGGTAGAGCGTCGGTCTGCAGACTGAAAGGTTCCGGGTTCGATTCCGGTCAAGGGCATGTACATTGGTTGCGGGCACATCTCTAGTAGAGGGTTTGCAGGAGGCAGCTGGTCAGTGTTTTTTCCTCATCGATGTTTCTAGCTCTCTATCTTTCTCCCTTCCTTCCTTTAAAAAAATCAATAAAATATATTTAAATATATCTATATATTTAAAAATATATAATATTGTATATCAACTGTAATTTTTAAAAAAAGTAGAAGTGCTTTCACAATAAGTGATTCCTTTAATCTTGGGGATTAGACACTGGGAAGCAATGCTAGAGTTATGGCAAAGAGGTGAAAAGGCCCATGAGAAAGGTTTATCCTATGGAGGTTCTAGATGTTAACTCATCAAAAGTTGAGGACCTATAGGGTAGACAGTGTGTCAGATGGGAAGATGCAGTAATAAAACAACAACAACAAACAAGCTCTCTGATCCCATGGAGCTTATTTTCTGGTGCGGAATTCATACAATACTATTAAATATATATATATAGGTGATGATCAGAAGAAAAATCCAGCAAGGAAATATCTCGGAAGCGATTGTATGGGTGTCCGAGCCAGCTAGGCTCAAAAGAGCAAACTCCTCTGATAATGGAACATGTAAGGAGAGAGTTGAATGAAGTCAGAAACATGCAGATATCAGGCGAAGAATCTTCCTTGCAGCAGTAATAGCACATGCAAAACGCCTGAGGCAGCAGCCTTTTGTTTTTGGTACTTTAATACTGAGGGGGGTTTTGGTGAACTGAGAAAAGGTCAAACAGATGATGGCTCACAAGGGCCACTCCTCTCTGGGGCATCAGTATATCGTCCAGAAGAGGTAAAGGAAATCATGATCTTTACTCTAATGAGGTTGCAAATTGATGAGGTAAAGAATGTGTTTGAAGTTAGAATGAGGAGCCCTTGTTGCCCCAGGTGTGAGACCTCTTATTCCAGGATAGTCGGCATCCCTTCTTTTCTCTCTCATTTTCTTACTCTGGCCCTTTTTTGTTTTCCCGTCTACCCAGGATTCCGTAAGTACCTGAGGAGCCAGGAGAATGGCTACAATGACTTCAGCAGTACTAGTGGACATACAGGATGAAGTGACCTGCCCCATCTGCCTGGAGCTTCTGAAGGAACCCCTGAGCATAGACTGTGGCCACAGCTTCTGCCAAGCCTGCATCACAGAGAACAGCAAGGAATCGCAGATCGGCCAAGAAGAAGAAAGCAGCTGTCCCGTGTGCCAGACCAGCTACCAGCTCAGGAACCTGCGGCCTAATCGGCACCTGGCCAACATAGCGGAGAGGCTCCGGGAGGTGGTGTTGGGCTCAGGGGAGCCGCTGAAGGTGATCCTCTGTGCGCACCATAGAGAGAAACTCCAGCTCTTCTGTAAGGAGGACGGAAAGCTGATCTGCTGGCTTTGCGAGCGGTCTCAGGAGCACCGCGGCCACCACACGTTCCTCATGGAGGAGGTTGCCCGGGAGTACCAGGTGGGAGCCCATGTAGAGGGAACGTGGGAAGGAACAGAGTTCTTGGCAGGAAATCTTAATTTTATGCTAATTTAACTTTTGTAGTCTTCTCCCATTTAGATAGAGGAATGAACCTAGAAAATTCCCCCTGGCCAAGAGTAGAAACTTTAGCAGTTTCTCACTGCCCAGGATCAGCTCTGCATGTCCTTTTGAGAAGAGGATGCTGCTGGGGGCAAAAAGGGAGGCTGGGAGCATTGAGTGTGGGGGGAGATGGTGGCAATGAGAAGGCGTGAGGGACTTCATGGTCAAGTTCTTTTTCTGGGACAAAATCGTCCTGGTCCTACTGGTGCCTATCCCCTGTGTATACCTTGGCTGTCTCAGATTTCAGTCCAGGGCGGGACAAGTTTCTTCTGAGATCAGCATGCTCTGTCCCATCCATTCATGTCTAGCCACTGAGACCATTTAATGCTTGATTTGATGAACTTCTTCCAGGAGAAGTTCCAGGAGTCTCTGAAGAGGCTGAGGCAAGAGCAGCAGGAAGCTGAGAAACTAAAAGCTGTGATCATAGAGAAGAGGACATCCTGGAAGGTAAGAGAGACTCTTCCTGAAGGTGTCCTGGACAGGAAAGCTGATCCTGTCCCCAGTTTGGCTAGAAGAGCTTCCCTTTGCCCAGTTTGCCTAGTCCTTCTCCACAACCCTTCCAAACAAAGCTCTTTTTCCTGGTGCAGGGCAGAGGAGAGAAAAGGGGGAGCTAGGAAATGGATATATTAAAAGGGAATCCAGGTTTTTCACCACAGTCACATAGGAGAGGAACCATGGCCATTGGCAGCTTCTAATTCCTGATTCTGGACTTTGTTCTACAGTTTCAAGCTCTGAAACTTGGAAGGACAGGTTAGATACAGGCCAATCATTCCTATCTCCTCACTCAAAATTGGATGGGGAGGCTAATGGAGAGGCATGAGAGACCGGGGAGGCTGCTTGAAATCTAAACCTCACCCAGGAATCACAGTTTACATCTAAGAAGCCTCAAAAAGTTCACCGGAGGCTAATGTTCTGGAAGAGTGGAGGGGAGAATTGAAGGAAGACCAGGTTCTGCAGGACTTTCCCCCTTCACTCCTCTACCAGTGAGACCTGGCCAGGGAAGCAGTGCTGAGCCTGACTTCCCACCCCTTAGAGAGGAGACCCTCAGCTCCACAGACTAGCAGACTCTCTTCCATGTCCTTGAAGAATCAGCTGGAACCTGAGAGACACAGGATCCAGAAGGAGTTTAATCAGTTGAGAAGCATCCTGGACAAAGAGGAGCAGCGGCAATTGAAAAAACTGGAGGAGGAAGAGAGGAAGGGGCTGAATATTATGGAAGAGGCAGAGGATGAGCTGGTCCACCAGAGCCAGGCACTGAAGGAGCTCATCTCAGATCTGGAGCATCGGTGTCAGGGTTCCACAGTGGAGCTGCTGCAGGTAAGACTCATGAAGGAACCCCGAGAAGGACGAGAAGGACTAATATTCCTACCCTTCTGACACGGGACTGATATCCTGATGGAGGCAAAAATAAAATTCCTTTGACCCTGGGGTACCTCTTCCCTATTATATCTCACTTGTATTTATTATATATAAAAAAGTGGTCCAAAAGTTCAGTTGATAATGTGGTGGAAATCTACTGTGTCCATTGGTGTTCTATTGAAGTATTAATCAGTCTTGATGTTATTGACCTATTGGGCTAAAAAGTTACTATGAGGGACTGTCCTGTACATTGTAGGATGTAACAGCATCCCTGCCCTCTGCCCCCTAGATACCAGAAGTACCACACCCAGCTGTGATAATCAAAAAACACTGCAGACATTGCCAAATATCCCTTGGAGGGAATATCTCCCACCCCTGTTGAGAATCACTGGCCATTAGGCACCTGTTGTTGATGATATTCTATTATGATTGGTCATGTGCTTTCACTCACTTTCATAGCAGATAAACACATACCAAACTCAAGTGCCCAGAGATTCTTATGTAATCACCAGTCCTTTGCGTTCACTCTCTTTTCTAGGGCAGAATCATTTACCATGTTGTAATAGGAGTTTGAACTGGTCTTTTAAGACACAAGACTGAGCTCTGGGGTGTGTGTGTGTGTGTGTGTGTGTGTGTGTGTGTGTGTGTGTCTCGGGAGGGTGCAAGGTGTCCAATATAGAGAGTTTTGATGGTGGAGCTTGAACTGAGGTTAAAACCTGAAGAGTTGTTTTTTACATTGAGTGAACAATATGACTATGAAGTTGCAGAAAGCACCTTGTAACATTCTGGAACTTTCAGGCCCTTCCTTATTTTTGTTTGACTTGTTTTCCACTTGCTCTCCCTTTGCCAGTATGATACTCATTTCTTTACCTATTCTTGGACCTCAGTATTAAGATCAAAAGGTAGTGACTTTCTACTTGTTGAAGCTTTTCTTCATTGATTGCTTCTGATTTAACATCTTCATTTTATTCTTCTTGCCCTTTTTTTTTTCATTTTTTTCATTTTTGATGTTGGGTTACCCTAATGTTTTCTTCTCACTCCTCGCCCCCCAGTTCTAGCCCCTGCACAGACTCCTCAAATTGTTAACATTGCTTCGTAAGTACAGAGGCATCATCAATTTATATTGCTAGTCCAGATATCTGTCTAGGCTCTCACACTCATTAATATGGCTACCCAAAGGACATTTAAAAAAATGCTTTTATTGATTTCAGAGAGAGGAAGGGAGAGGGAGAGAGAGACAGAAACATCATTCAGGAAGGAGAATCATCATTCAGCTACCTCCTGCATGCCTCCCACCTGGGATCCAGCCCACAAGCCAGGGAATTGAACTGTGACTTTCTGGTTCATTGGTTGATGCTCAATCACTGAGCCATGCCAGCCAGGTCCCATAGACATTTTAATTTGAGTTTTCTCTTACTGTCCATTATTCTAGAATTTGCCCATTACAGACACATTCTTCCTTCTCTTTTCCATGTCTGTGGCATTGTTGCTCATTAAGATCTTGGCAGCTTTCAAGTTTCAAAATGTAAACGATGAGAATAAAGCTAACACAGGAGACTTGCAGTGGCACCTGGTTGGATCATGCCTTAAAATTGCTGCAATCCTAGATATTTGATATAAGCGGGCACATCCACCACCTCCACCACTTTCGATATTGGAGCCAATTTGAGCTGTGTTTCTGTTAAATGCAATCAAAATAGTTATGTAGATCAAGCCATTGGCCTTTTCTTCAGTCACTGAAGTTTATAAAGCAGGAGTTAGAGAGACCAAATAGGCCATGAAGAAATTCTACTCAAATGAGGCAGATAGTGACAGCAATGACCTTGAAAAGCAGGTGGCTAACAAGTTAATGGTGTGAAATGGACTGGCTTGGTCTAAGATGAGACATCAGTGTGAATATAAGGAGGTTTTTAGGACAATACTTTACCTAAATTTGGTGTCTGCATGGATGGTGGTATCACTGAAGAAGGTGGGAGATAGTAGAGGAGACCTCATGTTTGCAGAAAAAGTAAAGTTTCTTTTAAAAATCTTGAATTAGTGATGCCTGTGGCTCATTTGCTGGGGTATACAGTAGGTCCTCGGGTTACGTCAGAGATTCGTTCCTACGGCATGACGTAACGTGACTTTTGCCGTAAGTCAGAACCTACCTACGTAAGCACCTATGTCACTCACATGGAGCACATACACAGCAGTAATGAAGTGAAACAGTAAAAAAAAAAAATTAAAAGAAAGATAACAATTCCTGACCTTTACTTGTGGTAAATAAATAATAAAACATAAAGCACATATGTACATACATTGAAATGATGGAACATTTTTTTTTTAAATACTGTAAATGGGAGATGGCGATGTAACCATGAAACATAGAGTCCGACATAACTGGACAGTGAATAAGAGATATGAAAAGTACAGAGTTGGGAATCCACATGTATGTGTTGAATTCAAGAAAAAATGGATTAACTCAACAAAAGGAGCATAGACAGAGGAGATGAAGTTTAAGAAACAACCACAGTTGCCCTTGCCAGGTAGGTTAAAACATTGTCTTGAGGCATCAAGGTTGTGGGTTTGACCATTGGTCAGGCCAATTACAAGAAGCAACCAATGAATGCATAAATAAGTGTAATAACAAATCAATGTCTCTCTTTCTTCTCAAAATTTCAATAAATAAAATTAAAAACAATATTAAAAAAAGAAACGCATTTAAGGCCCTGTATCCTCAGCAACCAGAATGTAGAGGACATAAATTATGGCTTTAGCATGGGATATTCTCTAGGGCAAGGCACAATGTCTGGCAAATATAGATAATGTACATATGTAACATCACACACACACACACACACACACACACACACTGTTGTAAAAATAAAGATACCAATGAATGAATCATCATTTCCTGACATCCCTATATAGGGTCTCAGGGACAGTGTGCTTTCAAGTTCTTATCTCTACCTTGTGGTCTCTATATTCCCAACATATAATGGGGTGGTAGGGATGGGATGAGGAACCTGGGTGAGGCTGTACTAGAGGATAAGGCTTATGACTCCTAGACTTAACCTGTCTCTTTTCTTCCTAGGACGTAAGTGATGTCACGGAAAGGTATGTGCAAGAGAATACGAGGTGGTTCCTTCGGAGTGACAAAAGATTTCTGCACCATTCATAGAGTTACCTTGTGGTCAGTTGGAAAGGAAAAGAATCACAAGGCAGAGAAGATTTAGGACTGGTGTCTTGAGTTACTCATTATGAGAGTTTTGGGGTCCTCCAAAATAAAGGGAATGGCCTGATTTCTATGGTAGAATAATTTAGGCAATGGGAGGTCACAAATTGGAAACAGCAGTGCCCTTAAGGATAAAGGGTTATTAACAGTATCATTGATTATCCTAATGCCCTGTGATGGACCTCCTTTTCCACAAATCTTTGTGCCTGATTCTAGTAGTTTATGGCTATGTCAGAATAGACAGGGCTTGCAAAAACAGGTTTGGTTCAGTGGTAGAGCATTGGTCTGCGGACTGAAAGGTCCCAGATTCGATTCCGGTCAAGGGCATGTACGTTGGTTGCGGGCACATCCCCAGTGGAGGGTGTGCAGGAGGCGGCTGGTTGATGTTTCTCTCTCATCGACGTTTCTGGCTCTCTATCCCTCTCCCTTCCTCTCTTTAAAAAATCAATAAAATATATTTAAAAAAAAAAATACACAGGGCTTTCCATTGCCCCTGTATTTTATCAGAGGGAAGTTTCCTCTCTACATTTTCCTATCCCAGAGTCCACAATTCAGCTTTTGGAACATCTTCCTTGAATTTCCCTTTTCCCCTTGGCTTTGGAACAGTTCATATCTTGCTACCTAGTTCTCCTCACACTTCCTCTTTTTTTTCAATTTCGATAAAAACATAGACCAGAGGTCTTGAGAAGAGTAATTTTGGCCTGAGATCAAAACACATAGTTTCTACCTCATACTCCAGAATCTCATCCTTAAAGGTGACATCTAAAGTTGCCCATATACCAGGTCCATGTGAAATATGGAGCCTTGTCCCTTACAAAGTCTGCACTCTTAGTTTGGAGGTGAGGACATCTTTCTCCAACTGGCATAATTCTAAGCTTAAGTGAATCCTAAGATGCTGTTCTGAAGGTCTTTATAGTCCTCTGGGAACCTCGAAGGCTTAAAAGTCAAAAACACTAAGGAAGGAGCCCTTTACTGGATGCTCTCAAAACCCCAGTAACAGGTTCCTGGTATTCTGCCTGTCAACACACATTTTCACCCCCTCATGGTAGACCCTCTGGTTGGCACTGACATTTTAAATATTTTGGTGGGTTTGTTTTATGAGGTAGCAAAGGATTTTGCAATCATTATTTTAATGGCCTGAGATCAAAACATATACTCTCTACCCCATACTGTAGAATCTCACCCTTAAAGGTGACATCTAAAGTAAGGTGACAAAAAAATAAATAAATAAAATAAAATAAAATAAAATAAAATAAAATAAAGTAAGGTGACCAGACGCCCCGCTTTTGGCTGGACAGTCCTGATTTTTAACGATTTGTCCCGCGTCCCGCAGCATTTTAAAGAAGTCCTGATTTTTCCAAACATTATTGCACATGCGGGACGCGAGACAAATTGTTAAAAATCAGGACGTCTGGTCACCTTAATCTAAAGATGCCCACACACCAGGTATACGTGAAATATGGAGGCTGATCCCTTGCAAAGCAATAAGAAACAAACATAAAAGAGGCCTTGAGGGGTTAAATCTTATCAAAATTTACAGATAGTGAGAAGCTAGTTTCTTGTTCTGGTTTTCTGGCCCCAGCGTCAGGACTCTTTGGTGAACGATGCTAATTTTCTTCAGGAAAGTGTTGAAGTTCCCCCATGGGCTTAGGAGATGAAGGACAGTGGTGCTGGGGGAATCCAAGGTCAGCCATGTAGGAGATTCACAATGTCTGTTCCCTAGGAGTGAGTACTGGACTCTGAAAAAGCCAGAGGATCTCCCCACCAAGCTGAAGAGTGCATTTCGGGCCCCAGATCTGAAAAAGATGCTACGAGTGTTCAGAGGTGAGGAGATGGAGGAGACAGAATGTGGATGTGGGATGATTGTAGTAATAAATAGCCAAAAAGAGCAGAGGGTATTAGTTAGTATTTGGAAATAGCGGCTGAGAGTGAGGTTAAGGCAAGAAACACCAGCCAGAGCCTATTGGTTCTACACATGATTGACTTTTTGTCATTACAGAGCTGACAGATGTCCAAAGCTACTGGGGTAAGTAGAATCATAGACCTCTTTAAGCTGCCATGTTCTGATCCTCTTTTTCATGGGAATCTTCTCAAAGAAATCCCACCCTCTCCACACATCTCCCCCTTTCCGCTCCCCGCCCCCCATACACACACAGGTATAAGTTGGTGATACTTCCTCCCATCCCCCCACCACATAGTTTCAATTCCTCCCACCCACTTCTGTGTCTCCTCTTCTCAGTGTCATAAGACCCCTGCACCCCTTGCCATCTGCTGAACTGGTACCTTTTCCCACAGTGGACGTGACTCTGAATCCACACACGGCTAATTTAAACCTTGTCCTGTCGAAAAACCGGAGACAGGTGAGATTTGTGGGCGCCACTGTGCCCGGCTCTCATCTGGAAGAGCACTACGACTGTGGCGTCCTGGGCTTGCAGCATTTCTCCTCAGGCAAACATTACTGGGAAGTGGATGTGGCCAAGAAGACTGACTGGATCCTGGGCGTGTGCAGCGATGCCGCGGGACCTCCGTTCTCTGTCAACCAGTTTGGGAACAATCGCAATGTTTACTCCAGATACCAACCTCAGAATGGCTACTGGGTCATCGGGTTGCACCACAAACATGAATATAGAGCCTACGAGGACTCTTCCAGTTCCCTGCTCCTCTCCATGACTGTGCCGCCTCGCCGGGTTGGGGTTTTCGTGGACTATGAGGCCGGCACTGTCTCCTTTTTTAATGTCACAAACCACGGCTTTCCCATCTACACCTTCACTAAGTATTACTTTCCCACCACTCTTTGCCCATATTTTAATCCTTGCAACTGTGTGGTCCCAATCACCCTGCGACGCCCAAGCTCTTGAACATTCTGCTGCCCTCGCCCATATCTGAGCAGTAAGCATCCTTTGAGGCTCATCCACCCCTCAGACTCCTTTCTTACCTATTTTCTGCAGTCTCCTTCCCTTTTCTTTGAACGTTTACTCAAGGCTAGAATGCACTGGTGGTGACAATGAACATCCTTCAAGTAATTATTTCAATACATCTCTAGAGATGGGTGAGGGGTAACTTTCAGCCTTTTAAAATTAACCATGGTATTTTTTTGTCAATGCAGAGGATCAAATATGGGACATTCTCTTAATTTGCTGTAAGTTTTTGTTCTGAATGGATAATTGAATTTCAACAGATATTGTCGCTGATTGAGATAATCCTGTGTCGTTTTTATTCTGTTATTGGAGTACATTGATTTGTTCCAATGTTTAAATGTAATACAGATTCCTGAAATAAGACACTATCATTTTGCATGTGCAATACTGAATTTGTTTTATTAATACTTGTCTTAGATTTTATTTTTATCTCTATTTATGAAAGAAATTGACCTGAAACTTTACATTCTTATAATATCACAGGTTTTATAAAATGCAGCCAATGAACAAAGAAATTGATGTATGTTTTTGTATAAGGGCATAAGAGTGCTAAAGCCTAATATGTTAAATTTGGAAGTTTTAAAATTAAAGAAATTCTGACCAGTTTTTACTCCATCCTTCATGGATCTTAAAATGTTAACAGTAGAAATTAAAAAATTAAAACAAAATCTGTCAAGTACATTGAAGTACTAAAAGGAAAGAGGAAAATGATCCATCCAATATAGATTATTTTAGGAAGAGAATGATTTCTTTTCATTTCTCCACATCCCCTTTCCTTTATGCTTAATATGAACAGCCAGTGAGTGAGCAGTGATGACTCGGGTAGAGAGATGCTATATGCTTTTGGCGCTAACTGTAAAAGCAGTTATGAAGTGGAGTGAGTGTGGAAACACATATTAAAGAGTTGACTAAATCTAATGTCCAGTTGGTAGCCAAGGGTCACTGGCAATTCAAATGTGACTAGTCTGAATTGAGACATGCTATATGTGTGAAATGTACACCATTGGTTCAAAAAATAATATAAAATATTGTATTAATTATTTTTATATTGTAGAGTACAATATAAAATGATCATAATATTTTGGATATATTATGTTAAATAAAATATATATTAACGTAACCTGTTTTAATTTACTTGTTTGATGTAGATGCTAGAAAATTTTAAATTATATATGTGGCTCTTATTACATGTTAACTGGACAGCTTATCCTGTAGTGCAGTTTCTCCCCATAAGGGAGCTCTAGTATACGGAAGATGTTACTTGTATATCTACATGGATCCTCTACCTCTCTGAAGCATTTGTGTAGAAGGTACTGGCAGAGAGAAGAGGATCTGAACATCTAGAAATTTATAATTTAGAAGATCATAGAAAGGGGTCATGGCCAGAGAATAGACTGTGCGTAGTCTGGTCCCTGTCTTTAGCCCTCAGACTGTTGGACATTTGAAGTTCCATTGTGGTTTGAGGAATTATTAGTTCATCCTCCTGGCTCAGCTCTAGTTAGTTAATGTCTGTATGAGATGAAGTAAAAGTCCAGTACCTGTACTGGGTTACTCTAAGATAAGGTTTCATTTGGGAGGTTAAGTTTGTGGGAGACCAGAGGCCAAATGCACACTCATTCTTATCTGGACTTTATTCAGAAGAAATATGAAAGGAGACAGGAGGCAAACCAATGCCCATGTGGCTGATGGAAGTTGGGGGATAAGAGATGATGGTAAAAGAATCTGTAACTGTGCCCTTTTCATTTCTTTTCCCATGTAGTAAGCTTCAGGTGAAAGGAGTTAGCCCAGCTGACCTCTCCCTATGGAGGTACCTAGTGAATGACCTTAGTTAATGAAAATCAGGTGCTTGCTGGGATGCTATAGGTGAGATGCGGGGAGAAATTAGAATGAGTTTGCAGCCCTGGCTTTCTCTGGGGGGGGGGGGGGGGTAGGGGAGGGTGTCTGGGCAGGGGCCTCCTGGCCTTGACATTTTTGGCGTGATGCAGTAGGCTAAGCTGCTATGAAAACTAAACCCAAAACCAAAATGGATCAAATAAATGTATTTATTGCTTATGTAAAAAAACATGAATATAACTAGGGGGTGAGTGGCACTATTCCACAAGGGATGTATGGGGCAAGCTCCATCTGTGGCTCTGCCACCCGAAAACAGTATTGCCATCAACATCAAAACAACAGAAAGGCAAAGAAAACTGGGGAGGCAGTTTGCTTCTGAAGTCCTTAGTTCTTATGTGGAAGTTATAATTTCTGCTCACAACTTTCTGTTACTGAGAATAGCCAGGTGGCCCCACCAAAATACCAAAAGATTGTAAGATGTCTAGCCACACGCAATTTCCAGGGGAGGAAAATGCAGATCTTGGTGGATGCCAAGTGGCCTCGTGGCCTGGAACCTTAAGCAACTCCTCCTCCTCATTCCAGAAGATTCAGGATCTCAGATTGTTTCTGGGCTGTTTATTCCATCCTGTAGCCTAAGGTTCATAAGGAAAAGACCGAGTGAGGGCAGTGCTGTTGCCGGAGTCTTAGGTCCTAACGTTTTTCAATAAACCTGTTCTTGCTAGAGCTGCCATTTACATTTTATTCTACTTTAAAGAAAAAAAAATTTGGAGTGAAGGGCTTTTTAAACATTTTTATTGTGATATAATTGACATGTAAATTGCACATATTTAAAGTCTACAGTTTAAGTTTTGACTTGTGAAACATCTCCATCAAGACAATCAAGATATCCACCCTCAAAAAAAAGAAAAGAAAAGAAAAGAAAAAAGATATCCACCCTCTTCAAATGCTTCCTCCTGCCCCTTTGTAATCTCTTCTGTCTCTGCCCACTGCACCCCCATCCCCTAGCAACCACTGTCTGCTTTGTCTCAGTGTGCATTCTCTAGGTTTATAAAAAGAATCCTTCACTTTTGTTGTCTGTTTCTGTCATGCTCCAGATTGTTATTATTATTATTGCCATGTAGTATTCTATTGTATCAATACAATTATATTGTTTGTAAAAACTTACCCATTTGCTTATTGATGCAAATATGGGTGGTTTCCAGCTTTTGGCTACTACAGATATAGCTGTTGTGAACATTTCTTGTAAAACTCTAACAGTAAACACATGCTTTCGCTTCTTGTCTAATTGCCTAGCTGCAAAATAGCCGGGCTCTATGGTAGGTATATGGGTATATAGTTTGAAGCTGCCAAACTATTTTCTAAAATGATAGTTCCAATTTTACATTTGACTTCAATTGCTCTACATCCTTGCCATGGCTTGGTTCAGCTTTGGGAGAGTGTGGAGCTATGGGAAATAATGGGAATAAACCAGAGGGACCTAAATAATGGGAATAAACCAGAAGCAGAAATACTATTTCTTTAATGTAACCTTTTCTCCTTTCTTTCCTGTTGGTTTAAACTGGCCCCATTTAGCACCCTGACTCACCATCTCCCTCTCCCTTGCATGTCCATCCCTTAGTTCACATGTGTCAAACACAAGGCCCGCGGGCCAAATCCGTCCCGCCAGGCCTTGCAATGTGGCCCGCACCGCGCTGTCATCGCTGCACTCCGCTGCGTTTCCATCACAATGACAGTTTATGACTGTTCAGTAAACCATTAGGCCTGCGATTTAGGCTGGATTTTAGATTTTGGCCCCTTCTCTGATTGAGTTCGACACCCCTACAGGCTTAGTTATTAAGCTATCAGGACAATGAGATTCTAGTCAGCATCAAAATATCTTTGGAACAAAGCCTCAAATCTATTGACCACAGAGTTTCAGTCAAACTAGACTTTAGTTGTGTTTCAGTTCCAGGCCCAGCAAAGAGGAACCACCCCACCGACCACACCCTAATGACACCAGATAGGAAGTCGCTCTGGCTGACATTAAGACCTGATACAGTGCTCAACTTCTCCCAGCCTTGGCCCTGACCAGCCAGCAGAACCCACAACCCCAACTCCCTCAGTTGCCATAATGAATGATTTTCCACCTATAGAACCCATCACCTGGAAGCCATCAGGGCGCCAGGTGTCAGAGCAATAGCTCACCTGGGACTCTACGTTTGGTGTCATTTCCTTCAAAATAAACCTTTTGATTGGGCTTTGGTGCCTAACAAACCCTTTTACTTGGTAACAAAAGCTGCCACTTTACTCTTGTGATGGCTGCTATCATCCTCCGGGTAATTTCAGTTCTCCCTTTGCCCATATAAACGAGTCTCCATGGTGTGACCCTTGCGCACTTCTGTGCTATCTCTTGTTTACCTGGAGCTCCAAGCACAATCTCATGGAACCAGTTGCAGATTACAGCAAAGCTATTTCTGGCTCCTAGAGGTGCAACTGCAAGTAATGCACCAGCGGAACTCTTGACACCCTAAGACGAGTATTCAAAAGTGACCATTATTTTCTATTTTGAATACATAGTACATTGGTAGAGAAGGTTGGCCTGGATAAGTCTTTGTTGTGGGAGCTCTGTGCATTGCGGAATGTTTAGCTGTATCCCTGACCTCTCCCCACTAGATGGCAGCAGCCTTCCCTGTAGTGAGGACAACCAAAACTTTCTGACTTTGCCAAATGTCCCCTGGGGCAAACCTTCCCTCCCCACCCCATCCTTCTACAAACACTGGGTTAAAGCGTTACTCTCTGCCATCGCCCTGAAGGACTGCCACCATTTGGCCCAGAAGCTCTGTCCCCTTTCACTTTCACTTCTCAGCCAGTTCCTCAGGAGGAACTACTTCCTGCAGACTGAGCCCCGGGTTGGAGAATGAACCCTGACCAGAACCGCCCCGACTTTTCCTCACCACTTAAATCTGGAGTCAAGACTTCTCCGCTGGGACCTGAAGGTGTGTGGGGAGGTTTATGGCAGGCCCAGCGTGGGAGACTCGCGGACAGAGGTACTAGGTGAAGTTAGGTGAGGCATTTTGTGGCGCAGATGTGCTCTGAAGGGAAGAAAAGCCAGCTGCAGGCGCTTCCTACTCTGAGTGCAGACACAGGGCAGCGTCTGGGGCGGGACAGCTTGAGAGAAAAGTGTGTTAAACAGGCAGTGGGCCTTGTTTGCTACCTGGAAGGACCCCTATTTTAAACAGGATGAGTTCATCCCCATCCTCTTCCTGTTCTATGGTTTTGATTACCTATCTTGCTGAAGGGAACTGTAATTCTCTCTCTCCCTCTCTCTCCCTCCCTCTCCCTCTCTCTCCCTCTCTCTCCCCGCCCTCTCTCCTCCTCCATTCCTCTCTCTCTCTCTATAAAGAGATAAACAGAAAGTCTCTTCTACTTACTCCACTCCATTTGTAAACGAGGTGCCTGTTTTACAACTGTGCGAGAGCCCAAGCTCCTAGTATGGGGCATCAGACAGAATGGAGTCTTGGGGACATGGCCAGGGGTAATACTGAACCTGATTCTTTCAGGCCCCTCCTGCCACCACCGAGGTGCTGTCCGTGGCCTTCCTGACACCCTCAGCTGCTGGCCAGTCTGAAGACAGCAGGCTAACGATGGGTCTGCTGCCTGCCCCTGAGCTCTGAGGCCGCCTTTTCTCCCGAGTCTCCTGAGCTTCACTCTCAGGGCTCTGCTTGCACTTCCCTGAATAGACCTGCCTGCTCTTACCTCAGTAGTTCATTGACCCTGACTGGTGTCCTCACCTGCCTCGGCGCTCTTAGACACACCTTTGCATTGATTGTTATCTCTGCTGCTTACTGTTTTTCTTTGTTCAGAGATCATTAATAGGGTTTGACTATTGCCCAGAAGGAGACCAAAGATTTAATGATCTTACTAAGAAGTTTAATATAAATATCTATCTATATCTATATCTATCTATATCTATATCTATATTTAAAAATAAATAAAAAAAGAAGTTTGTTCTGACACTGAACATATATCATCCTAAGGTCATTAGGGAATAATTTGCACACCATTGACATGTCACAAATTTTCTCAAACATGCCCATTCTATCCTATACTTTCACTTTTCAGATGTCACTGTTACTGCCTTCCTGGGAATCTATGCCTACCGTGGAGAGGGTCCATTACTGCCCACCTATTGTCTCTCAGGGTCAAGAACAAGGCCTAACACATGAGATAAAATAGACGTACTTAACTTATTTTTTTAAAAATTGAATTCATATGAATGAAAGCAGACTGCTGCTATGAAAAAGTGCATTGAATATCCATTCAACATGCAAAACATGTTAAATACATATAAGAGCTTACATTCTAGTTGGGGATAGATCATAACAAATTATAAATAATTGATGTGGTATACAAGAAGGTGACTAGCCCTGGCTGGGGTGGCTCAATTGGTTGGAGCATTGTCCCCTACAACAAAAGGTTGAGGGTTCTATTCCCAGTCAGGGCACTACCTGAGTTTCAGGTTTGATGCCCATGTGGGGTGTATACAGGAAGCAACTCTGGCTATATATATATATATATCTTTCTCAATCAATGAACAAATCTTCAAGTGAGGATTTAAATTAAAAAAGGAGTTGATGTCAAAGCAGCTGCCACCGGAATGACTATGCTTATGGGATAATGTTTTTAAAACATTGAATTAGAGGTGCCCGGCTAGCTCAGTCAGTAGAGCATGAGACTCTTAAAACATTGAATTAGGGTGAGTGACATGCTGAAAACTTTGCTAGAGCTCTTGGGGAGAAGGGTCATTAATGTGGAGGAGATTTAACCTTGAACTCTTTTATATATATATATATATATATATATATATATATATATATATATATATATTATTGATTTTTTTACAGAGAGGAAGGGGGAGAGATGGAGAGCTAGAAACGTCGATGAGAGAGAAACATCGACCAGCTGCCTCTTGCACACCCCCTACTGGGGATGTGCTCGTAACCAATGTACATGCCCTTGACCGGAATCGAAGCCGGGACCTTTCAGTCCACAGACCGACCCTCTACCACTGAGCCAAACCGGCTTCGGCTTAACCTTGAACTCTTAAGGGGTGGCTGAATTAGAGATTCTGAGCCTAGATGAATAGGGAGGGGCAGTTGCAGTGTTTCTGAGTTCACCTGGTCTTTGGATGCCAAAAACACGTCCTACTTTCCCCATTGGCAGTTCATGATCCAGGACATCAAGGGAATCATCTGGGATAGTGTCTGAAAACTTCAAAGGAAATCCTTTCTACACTTCACTTCCAGGAGACACTTTCATTTTTATTATCTAACCTGCAGAGAGGCATGGATTGTGCCTTATTATAAGTCCAGATGTGAGGAGAATACTCAATTGTGGGATACAGGTGTCTGACACTTAGGGTAACCAGCTGACCTGATAGTTCCATCAGGCAGATGTAACTTGTGTTCCTTTCTCTAACTCCCTGACTGCTGCTCAGCTTTTGAGTCACTCTTAAACATTGCTGGAGACACTTCCTGGCCATGTGTGGGGCTCTGCCTTCTCTGTACCTTTCTCTTTCTGTGATCATTATGACCACAGGTGTTTTGACATCAACTCCTGTAGACCCACTCTGATGTGAGGTCCACAAACCCGTGGGAGAAAGCATGCTCTGTTACTCTCTTCTCCGTAGGTTCTTGGTGTTTTTCAGCATCGGTTGGATATTGAACAGAATAAAAGATAACTGAGAAGTGAACACCTGTGGCTGGCTCATTGATCTTCCATTGTAATCATGGGTAGAAATTATCATGTTACATAAACCCCTGTTTTTGTTAGTCACCAGAGCCTGATCTAATCAATTGCCACCACAGAAAGTGACTAATAGTTTATGGACTTTAGACTGAAATTGTGTCCCTCACACAAATATGTTTGCCTTTGTGCATGTAGCCTTATTTCTTGTATCTGTACCATTGGCTGGATTGCTCCTTTCAACCTCTATTCATGGAAGTCTTATTCTTCATCAGATTCAGTTCATGAATCATTAGAGAAGTGGGCAGATTCCTAGGCCTACAGGTATCTCTATACAGCTTTCATTCTATCCCCATCCTTTCTTTATAGGCAAGGGGAAGGGGAAGATTTATAGTTTGTTACACATCTCAGATCTTTCACTATCAAATTCTTTCAACTATATTAATAACCTAATGTTGCTGTAACAAATTACCACAAATTAGATAGCTTAAAACATCAGGGATTTATTCTTTTGCAGTTTAGGACGACAAATGTCCAAAGTCAAAGTAGTGATAGAGTTGGAGCCTCTGAGGAGAATCTGTCCCCCATCTCTCTTAGTTTCTGGTGGTTTCCAGCCATCTCAACAGTCCCTGCCTTGATGGCCTTCTTTGCCACCATTGTTACATGGCCTTCTTTTTTATGTGTCTGTGAACCCTTTTTCTTCTTATATTAACTCTGGTCATTGGATTTAGAATCTACCCTCTTCCAGTATAACCTCATCTTAATTTGATTACATCTGCAAAAACCTCAATGCAAAATAAGACTACATCCACAAAGGCAAACGTATTTGTGTGAGGGACACAATTTCAGTCCATTAGAAGACATATCAAAATAAATAAATAAATAAATAAATAAATAAATAAATAAATAAATAAATAAAAATAAAAAAGAAGAAGACATATTAAGACATTCATAGCCACTGAGGTCTTCTCCCTTACCTTACAGCTCCTTGTCCAAATTTAGCCCAGGTTGTAAGAGTCAGTGTCACCATGCTACTGCTGATGGACCACCATTATACTTCCAGGTTTGGTTTGCCATTCCTACTCATGTGACAACAGGACATAAGCCAGCCAGGTTTACTTAATTTAACAAAGGCATATAAGAGAGGAGACATAGCACGTTGGCATGACTGCTCTAAGTGAGCTCTAATGAGAGTTTGCAAGGAGATCTAGGAATTACTTTATACCCCCCATGACAGGTCTTTTGTAAACAAGAGACTGTCACTTTTATGTCATTTAGGAAGTGTCACATTTTGAGACCCTTTAGGCTCCTGTATTGCAAAAGGCCTAGCAGCTCTCTGCACACCAGCCACAGTGGAGTTCTAAAATTAGTAGAAGATGCTGTGTCCTCCATCAATAGAGCATTCTTCTCCCTAAAATGTTTTTCCTCTTTATCATTCCGTATTCCCTCCTCATCTTTTATCTTTCAGCCTTATCCTTACTTATTCAAATGGGATTTTTTTTATGATCTCCTATTTAATTTTCCCAAAACGTGTAATTCTGTGTGGTGCTGATTATCATACCTACCAGACCTCTGAAAACATTCTATTCACTCCAATTCACTTACTAAATTGAATAATCTTTGTAAGTCACTGGATTCCATGTACAGATCAGAAAAAAAGAGAGTATTCTTATTTTTTAAGGATTTTTACATGAGGAATAAATAGGTCAAAGTGATGTGTAATTGTAACTGGTTAATAATTGTTAGTAATAAGATTACTTCCCTATTGTGGTCCTTGTTATTTCTATCAGTATTGCTGAGGAGTAATATGAGAGGGTTTTGTGTGGGACAGACTGGAAACCATTTATGTGGTCCCAAAGCTCACCTATCAGTGAACTCCTAATTAAAGGAAAGATAAAACAATGATTTTTAAAAGGAAGTCTAATCACCTATGGAGAAGTGAGGTTCTTTACATATTTATTTAGTATTGTGTTCCCAGACAAGGGCCTGGTCCATGTGTGGCTTACATTTTAGGAGTAGGACATTTAAAGAAGGATGTCATATATTATATAGTGGTAATAAGAAAAAGATGTTAAATAATACACCAAATGATGCTTTGGTGGTTGTGCTGTAGAAAAGTTAGTCATATTAGACATGCAAGAAGGGAGTTCAGTGAAATATAAGAGGAAGTCACGCAAATATCAAGGAAGGATCATTCCAGGCTGAAAGAAAAGCTAAAGATAGCCTGTGGACTGAAAGGTCCCAGGTTCGATTCTGGTCAGGGGCATGTACCTTGGTTGCGAGCACATCCCCAGTAGGAGGTGTGCAGGAGGCAGCTGATCAATGATTCTTTTTCATCGATGTTTCTAACTCTCTATCCCTCTCCTTTCCTCTCTGTAAAAAATCAATAAAATATATTTAAAAAAAAAAAAAAAAAAAGGAAAAGAAAAGCAAAAGCTCTGAGGCATAGGTGGCTTACCCAAGTCACTGAATTCACTTTTCCCCTCTCTCTCTCTTTTTTTTTTTTTTTTTTTTTTTTTTATCTTTCAGCTTTTCAGCCTTGGCCAATCTTGAAAGTGTGCACAGTTAGCATCCCTTTTATTTGTGTCATTCTTATACCATATCCTTTCAATCTGCCCACCCATCCAGGAATCTTTAAGCAAGAAGAGTCTCGGGAAGAAACCAGGGGAGCAGCTGCCATGGCTTTAGAATTCCTAGTGAACATGAAAGAGAAGGTGACTTGTGCCATCTGCCTGGAACTTTTGACAGAACCCCTGAGTCTAAACTGTGGCCACAGCTTCTGCCAAGCCTGCATCACTGACAAGAAGCCAGAGATCGGCCCAGGAGGGGAAAGCAGCTGTCCTGTGTGTGGAGTCAGATACTCTTTTGGAAGCCTATGGCTTAATCAGCATCTAGCCAACATAGTAGAGAGAGTCAAAGAGGTCAAGCTAAGCCCAGAGGAAGGGCAGATGAAAGATCTCTGTTTGAGCCATGGAGAGAGACTCCGACTCTTTTGTAAAGAGGATAGGAAGGCTATTTGTCAGTTTTGTGAATGGTCCCAGGAGCACCGTGGTCATCAGATATTCCTCATGGAGGAGGTAGTCAAGGCATACCAGGTAAGGCCCAGGATGGAGGGAGATGAGGTGAAAGGTAGTACTCAGTGGGAAATCTCACCTTTCCATCCTACTTTACTCACCTCAGCATCTTAGCATGGACTCCTGTAATTTCCTTCCATGTGTCACTTACCCTATGCTTGGCTTCCCAAGCCTGAGAGACATCACTGTGTATTCCTTCCATTTACATAAAGTATGAGTCTAAGTACAGACTTTGGCCAAGAGTGAAAGGTTTTCCTTTTTTCTCCTTCGTCATGTGGATGGAGAATTTCTTTCACAGGTTTAGCTCTCATTGCTCCGCCTAGCAGGAAGGTTGCTGTTAACATTGGGGATGGGATGTGGAAAGACTTTCAATAAGAGAATAGGATTTTTCTTGGCCATAACAGAATCAATATTTACTCTAAAAAGAAAGAAAAATGAAGCTACTCTTGGTGAGGGGGTAGTGACTTTCATCACCTAGGAATAAAGAAAACATCAGCTCCTCAGATTTTCTCCCAAGGTCATAGATTGTAATCACCAGATTCTAATAGTAAACCAGTCTCTTCTGAGATCAGGCTTGTTTATTCCTCATTTATTCTCTTTCCAGGTGCTAAGAAAGACCATGGCTTGACTCTAGTATGATTCCCCTCTCTCACACAGGAAAAGCTCCAGACAACTCTGGACAGACTGAGGAAGGAGCATCAGGAAGCTGAGAAGTTGGGTGCTGACATCAGAGAAGAGAGAACTTCCTGGAAGGTAGGAGGAGACTCTTCCTGGGTAATATCTGACTTAGGAATCTTGGCAGGAACTTCCATGCCAATCACAAGGAAGCCCTTTTCTCTTCAATCCCTGACATTGAAGGAGTCCAGAAGCCATTTGGTTAGTTCTCTTCCTTGTCCTGTCTCTGTTGGGGGTGGGGGCAGGAGAGTAGATGTTACACATAAATATATTACAATTACAAATGGTACACACAGATATTTGGAATTGAGAGCAAAAAACAGTCTTAGTGGTGAGGAAGGCTGAAGAATTCTGTCTTCCATTCCTGTTTTCCAGTGAGGCTCTCACACCTCCAGTGGAAGGAAGATAAACTTCAAGGTGCAAATGTGAGAGTGTGGGAAGGCATGAATGTCTAGGACAGCTGTCTACAACCTAAACCTCGCCCCAGTTTTACAGTTGTTCCAGCGTTGGCTAAATAAGAGAGTCTGAGGCCTTTTTGGTTTATACTGAAAAGGAAAAACGCTTTCCCCCAAATTGCTTCCTTGTTTCTAATCCTTTCCTGGTTAGAACTCCCTGAAAAAAATCCTTTCCCCTGGCTTCTAATCCCTTTCACTGTAGGCTCTCCTTACTTCTCTCTCTTGTTTCACCTTGCAGAGTCAGATACAGACTGAGAAACACAGGATACAAACAGAATTTAATCAGCTTAGAAGCATCCTGGACAGTGAAGAGCAAAGAGAACTCCAGAAATTGGAGGAAGAGGAGACGAAGACCCTGCATGACTTAGCTGAGGCTGAGAATGCACTGGTTCAGCAGAGCCAGTTGCTGGAAGAGCTCATCTCAGATCTGGAGCGTCGCAGTGGATGGTCAGCCCTGGAGCTGCTGCAGGTAGAAAGGGTGACCCAATCTGAGATTCTTAAAACACCCTCTAACTTGGCTTCTCTTCTGTGCCCTGGGGCTCTAATCCTGGTGTTGACACTAAAAGTTCCTTTGACCTTGTAGAGTGCCCAAGAATAAAGTCAACAGAGAGGGAAGAAAAGAGAATCATGAAACACTCAAAGGCCAGGATTTGCGCTGTCATATCCATTTGTGACTAAAGAAATATCTCTCTGGACACATTTTTTTTTTTAAACTCTCTGCTAATACAGAGAACAAAACATTGCTTTGGTTGTAAACCTGGCCAGTGGCATTAAGAGTAAGGCCAAATACAAGGAGTTCGCAAAAAATGTATACACACTTTCTTTTCTGATAGCTCAATTGATGTTTCTTTTCAGATTTAACCCATTGAATAATTAGTAATTATTCAAAGTATGTATACATTTTGGGGACACCCTATATATTGATACATATTGTTCAAAAACAAATCAATCCATAGTGGTAATGATGTAGAAATGCAGACAACCAAAATAAGTTAAGGATATGGAAATGACGAATTGGTAAGATGTTTTAAGCATTTGGGAATGGGACTGAATGTGTATCTTAATCATTTTGACAAGAGGGCATAAGAAAGAAAACAATATGGTGTGGTGAATAGAGATTCTGTTTTAGATATTCTGAGTTGCTGCTATGTTTCTTCTTTGTTATGGGATATATTATTCTGGATACATGACGAAACATAATAGACAATGATTAGATATGTGAAGTTTGGAATCAACAGCACCTGTGTGTGAGTTAAAATTAAAAAAAAAACAAAAAACTGGAAGAGGTTTTCTGTGCAGAATATGCATTCTGCTAATAAAGAAGAATTTTACTTCCTTTCCAATATAAATGCTTTTTTACTTCTTTTCGTTGTCTAATAGTCTCTATTGGAACCATTAGTACCATGTTAACACAAGTAGTGTCAGTAGACATCCCATCTTGTTCCTGATCTCAGTGGGGAAAGTATTCAGTGTTCCATTTTCATCATTCAGTATGATGTTTGCTCGCTGTGGGTTTTTCTTAGGTGCCTTCATCAGGCTGAGGAAGTACCCTTCTAGTCCTAGTTTATTGTTATTACTGTTTTTTTGTTTTGTTTTGTTTTTTTAATATATTTTATTGATTTTTCACAGAAAGGAAGGGAGAGGGTTAGAGAGCTAGAAATATCGATGAGAGAGAAACATCGACCAGCTGCCTCTTGCACGCTCCCTACTGGGGACATGCCCACAACCAATGTATAAGCCTTTGACCGGAATCGAACCTGAGACCTTCCAGTCCGCAGACCGACGCTCTATCCACTGAACCAAACCGGTTTCGGCTTTGTTTTTATCATGAAAGGCGTTGGATTTTGGCAAATGATTTTTTTTCTGTCTTTTGAAATAGCTATGTGTTTTTTATCTTTTGTTCTATTAATATGATGTTTTATATTGATTGCTTTTATATTCAACCAATTTCGCATCTCTGGAATAAAAAAACTTGACGATGATATATAATCTTTTCTATTTTTCTGGATTCAATCTTCTACAAATAGTTTACCAGTTTGTTTCTATAGTCATAAAGGATATTGGTCTATAGTTTACCTTTCATGTGATGTCTTTGTCTGGTTTTAGCATCAGAATAATATTGGCCTCATAGAGTGAGTTGGGAAGTATTCCCTCCTCTTCTAGTTTTTGAGAACAATTTACGAATTATTTGTTATATTTATTCTTTAAACTTTTAGTAGAATTCCCCAGTAAGGGCATCTGGGATTGGATTTTTTTTCTTCTTCTGAAAATCCACTCCAATTTCTACGTGTGTCATGTCTATTCATATTTTTCAATTCAATCTCTACATGTTTCTGATCTATCAGATTTTTCCAGTCCAATCTCTACATGTTTAGGTACATTCAGATTTTCTAGTTCTCCCTGAATCAGTATTGGTAGCTTTTGTGTTTCTAAGAGTTTGTTCATTTAATCTAGGTTATCTAATTTATTGGCATACAATGGTCACTAATCTTTATAATATTTGATTTCTATAAAGTCAATAGTAATGTCTCCTTTTTAATTCCTTATTTTAGTAATTTTCCTCCCCTCTCTTTTTATTCATGGAATGTCTAGCTAAAGGTTTGTCAATTTTGTTGATATTTTCAAATAACTTTTTATTTTTCTATCATTTTTCTACTTTTTCTTTCATTAGTCTTGCTCTAATATTTACACTCCTTGGTTCATGTTTTCTTTCTTCTCCTTAGGACACGAGTGGAATCATGAAATGGTGCGTATGGGTGACCAGGAGTGGTCTATTTATGAAGAAAGGTTTGTAGTCATGAGACTTATTTGGTCATCAACCAGAATGAAAATTCTCCCAAAGCAAGAAAAGTTAGATGTAGTATTATTTTAAATTGCTAGGATTTAAGTGTCCCATATTTATTGAGAATGTACCAGATTCTATGGTAGTGAATTTAATGGTTGAAATTCACAATTAGAGCCAGTAAGGATAACTTTTCTTTTGCCAAGTGTTTTTAACTTTTCCCAGAACACCTGACATCTCAAATGTTACTTGTGGGCCATACCACTGTTCAGGCTTTGGACTGGGGCACAGGTTTCAAGGTTTTCAGAAAGGAGACCTGTATCCCAGTCAGGATCTGCAGCCTCACCACTGATCTGCCTGGAACCCACATCTGGGGCCTCTTTATGGGAGACTCGTTGTTTTGTGGAAAATGACAAATATTACATATCATTTTAGAGGTAGCAAAGGCTTTTCTTATACATTATTTCATCTAATTCCTATTCATTCCATGGGGTATCACAGGAAAGGCTAATTATTATATATTTTTTTTAGAAGAACAAATTCTTACTTTGAGGTGAAGGCTTTCCCAAGGTCACACAGAGGGCAACTGGGAAAGTAGACCTGCACACATTTTTTTCTGGTTCCAGTAGCAGGGGACTTCCTTCTCCCCTCCTCGGGCTTCTCAGAGAATCAGGTTCAAGTGCATTAAGGGTATGAAAAAAGAGGAAGAACAAAAAGGTATGAGATGTAGGATCAACTTTATTTATTTATTTTTTTGTCATCCCTAGGAGTGAGGTGTGGACATTGAAGAAGCCAAAAACTATTTCAAAAAAACTGAAGCATGGATTCCGTGCTCCAGATCTGAGTGGAATGTTGCACACGTTTAAAGGTGAGGAGAGGCAGGGCAGGAGTGTGGATCTAAGATGTTTATGGTGTTAGGGACTAAGTTGAGGTGTGGGTCAGGGTCTGATATAGTCTCACATGGAGATAGAAAGGAGGTGTTCAGAGAAGGGATGTTGCTAATGGAGATGTGGTTAAGGGAGAATGGCTAGATTCTGGTTCATTCTCTGAGCCTCACAGTCTTCTCCCCTTCCCCTATTCTAGAGACAAGCTATCAGTGTTTAATCATTTGCTTCTAACCAACATTATTAAATCTTTTATCATTTCAGAGCTCACATGTGTCCAGTATTATTGGGGTAAGAAGTTACTGGGTCTTCAAATCACTGTGTTCTGATCCCCTGTCAGAGTTTGTGGTTTCAGTGAGATCTGATGATCTTACCCTACGTGTTTCCCTCACTTCCCAATACATGTATATAATACACTAGAGGCCCATTTTATGAAATTTGTACGTGGAGGAGGGGGTTCCCTCAGTCTAGCCTGCTCCATTTCCAATTTGGGACCCATTGGAAGATGTCTGGCTGCTGGTTTAGGCCCGATCCCTCTCGCAATCTGGTTTTGAATGTTTTAAGTTTTGGGTTAAATAATTTAATGGGACCACTAGCTCCTAACTGCTCACCTGTCTGCCTGCTTGATCGCCCCTAACTTCCTCTGCCTGCCTGTCTGCCTGATCATCCCCAAATGCCCTCCCTTGCTGGCCTGATCTCGCCCCCAACTGCCCTCCCCTGCATGCTTGGTTGCCCCCAATTGCCCTGCCCTGCTGACCTGATCTTGCCCCCAGCTGCCCGCCTCTGCCAGCCAAATTGGTTTTGATTGGTCGGTTTCTATGCCGGTCAATGTCAAAAGCCCCACCACCTAGACAGCCAATGGTTCCTCACACTTCACCCTGATTTGGTTCTGATTGGTCAGTTTCTATGCCAGTCAGCATCTCTGGGATTATCAATAGGGCCTGATCAGAAAGGCAGGGCTGATCAGCAGGTGGAGGTCTGGAGAGAAATGGTGGCATGGATGCTGGCCAGACTGGGAGAGAAAGAGAGAGGCAAGTGCTGATCAAAAGCTGCCATGGAGGCAATGAATCAATCCTGCTTCTCTCTTCAGTCCTCTTGCTGGCCCTGATTCCCAGCACCCTCAGCAGTCAGTGCTGGGGTACCCCACCTGCAGCGGAAGCAGCGCTGACTTCTGGTTTTTAAATATTAGGATTACTCCAGAGCTTTACCTCGCTTGTCCAATCATCAATACAAGTTCTTCCTAGTCACCTTCCAAGTTCCCTCTCCAAGTCCCCAGATAAACCAATCCCTGTAATCTAACTAATCTTATCTTTTTCTTTTTCTCTGCAGTGGACATGACATTTAATCCATTCAACTTAAATTTGAATCTCACCCTTTCAGAGGATCACAGACAGTTGGCATCTGTGCCAATTTGGCCTATGAAGTATTATAATTATGGTGTCTTGGGCTCCCAATATTTCTCATCAGGAAAACACTACTGGGAAATAGATGTGTCCAAGAAGACTGCCTGGATCCTGGGGATATACTATAGAAAACGTTCCTGTAATAAAAAGTTTGGTGTTAGACGAGACACAATTTATCAAAAGGCTTTCGGTAATAAAAAGTTTGGTGTTAGACCAGACACACTTTGTCAAAAGGCTTACTCCAGATTTAGACCTGAAAATGGCTACTGGGTTGTAGGGTTACAGAATCAATCTGAGTACAATGCCTTTGAAGACTCTGCCACCTCTGATCCCAAGATCTTGACTCTTTCTGTGGCTGTACCTCCCCGCCGAGTTGGGGTATTCTTAGACTATGAAGCAAGCACTGTCTCATTTTTTAATGTCACAAACCATGGGTCACTCATCTACAAGTTCTCTAAATGTCACTTTTCCCAAACTGTTTATCCCTATTTCAATCCTTGGAACTGCCTAGCTCCGATGGCTCTGTGCCCACCGAACTCCTGAATGTTCTCTTTCCCTCACCCACTTCTGTGTAGCAACCTTGTCCTGAGGCTCATCTCCTGCACCAGAGCTGATATCTACATTCCAAACCTTCTCTTGTCTCTTTCCTTTAGAACTTTTACTAGTTCTTGGGATTTGAATTTTTTTCTGGATTAAGTTAGAAGAGAATCTTATTTACCCAGTTACCCTTTTATGTATTCTCAGTGTCAGATATATTATACCTCTTAAAGACAGAGCAATATTTCTCCATAATTTCCTTTATCACTGATTTTGAGAGGTATGGAAAAACCTGTCTGCAACCACACATGACCTTAGGATAATCCATAATCGCCCCACCCACCACCAAGAACAACTAAGGAGTATTTGAGTACATGTCTGTTTCCTAGCATACAGCAGTGTCATCAGTTGAGGGGAAAAATAAATGTCATAATGTACCCAGAGTAAAAATTTTATAAAACCCAGAGTGTTTTATTTTAAATCGCTTATCTGACATGATGTGTAACAATGAATACTTCTTTAAATAAAACATAAATTGTGATTTTAAAACTGTACCCAACCCTTTAAGATTGTTGTATGAAACTGTCACTCAATATAAAGTGGCTATTTAATTGTTCTGCACGATTTGATAAAATTTTCTCTCATGATCACAGAAATGTATAAGCTGTGTTAGTGTCCTGTGCAACAGAAGTGTGCCCTTCAGAGGAACAGAAAATGATTCTACTGAAACTCATTTGTCAAGTGCCCAGAAGCTATTTGTTAAGATCACTCCAGTGCCAGTCTTGTGTTATAGAACTTACACCCAGGCTATGACTTTTTTGGTTGTTGTTGTTAATCCTCACCTGAGGAAAGATATATATATATAGTATTTTTAGAAAGTGGAAGGAAAGTAGGGAGAAAAAAAGAGTTATAAAAATATCCAGGTGAGAGAAACATATCAATTGGTTGCCTTCCATGTGTGCCCAGAGGGATAAAACCTGAAATGCAGGTATCCAAGTAAATGCCTTTTTGCTCTTGACTAGAAATCAAATTAGCCACCCATTGGTGCTCAGGCTGGAGCTCTAGCCACTGAGAACATTGGCCATGGCAAGGCTGGTACTATTTTATGACCCTTTATTGGAAATTTAAAAAAACTACAAAAATTTGAGTTTTCAAATCTATCCAACAGAGGAACCCATGTCTAGGGACAGCCTTTTGGTATTCTGGGCTTTTCCTTGTGCTAAAACATCTGAGCATAGCACCCTATGTACCATCCAATTCACTTTTATTTTTCTTTTATAATCAGTTTCAAATTATGAGGAATAGACTCACTGAGGATAGTAAAGGAACAAACTTTCCTTAGAGCAACATCCTATATAATAAAACGCTAATATGCAAATTGACCAATCAGTGAACATCCTGGTTGCTATGATGCATACTGACCACCAGGAGGCAGAGGATCACAGGAGATACCCTTAGTTGGGGGTAGCTCCTGCATTGAGCTTCTGCATTGAGCTTCTACACCTCCCCCCACCCCCCGAGAGGGAGGTGACTGGCAGCAGTGATGGGGGGGAGGAGGGTTGTGAGAGAAGGGCCAGCCAAGGTGGTGACACTGCCTTCGCCCCACCCACCAGTCGCCTCACAAATGTCCCTGATCACTGGCGAGGCCTAGGGACCCTACTCTATATATAGGGAACAGGCTCTTAGATTTAAAAATTAAAACCTGGCAAGGCTACTCTAACTCTGAAAAAACAGGATTATGCAGTGATGACATACATGAACTCCAGCTTGCCCATTTTATGGTCAACCCTGATTCTGACACTGTGTGACAAAGCCAATTACTTCTCTCTGCTTCAGTTTCTCCACCCATAAGATGTGGAAAATGGTACTACTGCCCCAGAAGGATCAAGTTATGTACTACTTTTTATAATCAGGGCAAAAAAAAAACAAAAAAATGTAGCTGGCCATACAACAGCAAGATGCTTCTCACCTGTGTGAAAAGTATGGTTACTGGTGCATGCAGTGTCCCAGATTGCGAGAGGGATGTCCAACTGCCAGTTTAGGACCGACATCCTTTAAGGGTTCCCATATTGTGAGAGGATGCAGGCCAGGCTAAGGGACTTCCTCACCTCCCATGCATGAATTTTGTGCACCATGCCTCTTGTATATTATAAATTAGGGCAGCTAATGCACAGCATTCAAATCAAGACATAAAGGGGTCACCGAAACCAGTTTGACTCAGTGGATAGAGCATTGGCCTGTGGACTGAGAGGTCCCAGGTTTGATTCTAGTCAAGGGCATGTACCTTGGTTGCGGGCATATCCCCAGTGGGGGGTGTGCAGGAGGCAGCTGATCGATGTGTCTCTCTCTCTTATGTTTCTGGTTCTCTATCCCTCTCCCTTCCTCTCTGTAAAAAATCAATAAAAAATATTAAAAAAAAAAAAAAAAGATACCCCACATTTCTCAAAAAAAAGAGAGTACTTGGCCTGGGAAAAGTATGTACATGCACTTATATACACACACACACACACATTTAGAGAGAGGATGCATATCTTTATCCAAGTTAATTTTCAAAAATATCATAAAAGAAAGAAATTCTTATCAATGGAGAGTGTGTCAGCCTGTGAACTGAAAGGTTCCAGGTTTGATTCCAGCCAATGGCACATGCCTGGAATATGGACTCAGTCCTCAGTAAGGGGTGTGCAAAGGGCAGCAAATCAATGATTCTCATCATTGATGTTTCTCTTTCCCTCTATCTTTTTCTCTAAAATCAATAAAATATATATTTTTTTAAATAAATTACTTATGGAGTTGAAGGAATTTATAAATTTATGAGGTATATCCCAATGTTTCATGGCTAATGAGTGGAGGAGACAAGATTACAACTGATTGGGTAAGTGTTTCTCTAGCCCAGGTGCCCTTTCTGTAGTTCATTTCCAAGGAAAACATAGCAGACAAATTACCTAGGTTGTGGGTAGCAGGGAAAAACCGATGAGATGTTGATTTACACAAGGAACCTGAAGCATGATGGGAAAATGTGAGGTGCCAAGATATAGTGATGTGCTTAATCCTCATAGACATTAATTAAGCAGGAGCTGCTCATAGAAATGGTGAAAGCTAAGTTGAATACTTAATGACCAGAGTGTGCTTGTAGGTGACACGTTGTAGAGAGTGACCACTGAAGAGTTAAGAGCTTTGACTTTGAAATCAGGTAGAATTTCATAATCATACTGATGTTGTTACTTACTGGCCCATATTAGATTAAATTGAATCAGATTCAGTTTCTCATCAGAAATATAAATACTAAGAATAAAAGGATAAGGATGCTGTGGGAATGGAATGTTTGCACTAACTTTCTCATTTCCTAGCACATAAGCAGTGGTCCAAATTGCTGTTAATTAATTTTCTGTGGTTTCAAATAGTGAATGTTAGGAAAGAATATTTATCTATACATCAAATATTAGTACTTTTGTTGTGTTTTGAAATAGAATACTTCATTAAGGAACCACATCCTTTTTTAATCTCATCTTTTTGCATGATAAATATTCTGTTTTTAAAATTTCTCAAATATGTTTGATCTTATGGTTAGCTTTCTAGTATACAGTTTTAGGTTGTAATATATTGCCTCTAAACATTTTCTTTGGATTTGCTATTTAATAATCTGCTATCAATCTCATTGCCTTCATCTATTGGGATAAAATCACTTAATATAATATTTAACATCTTAAATGTTTAATGTGCTGCATTCAATAGGTTTAAAGTTTCAGTTATGCAAGATGAATATGTTCTAGATAACATCATGCTTATAGGTAACTGCACTGTATATTGCAGTTAGTAATTATTTCTTTAGTTTAAAAGATAGTGTTATCTTTATTGTAGCCACCTACTTCTTTATTTTAAATATTAGAGGCCCTGTGCATGAAATTCGTGCATGAAACTGGGGGGAGAAGGGGGGGCAAGGAGTGTCCTTCAGCCCAGCCTGCACCCTCTCCAATTTGGGACCCCTCAAGGGATGCCCCTTGAGGTGGGATTGGGCCTAAAAGGGCAGTCGGTTATCCCTCTCACAATCCAGGACTGCGGGCTAACAATTGCTGGCCTGCCTACCTTCCTGATTGCCCCTAACTGCTTCTGTCTGCCAGACTGATCACCCCCTAACCACTCCCCTGCCATCCTGATTGATGTCTAACTACTCCCCTGCCATCCTGTTTGCCCCCAACTTCCCTTTCTTGCAGGCCTGGTCCCTTCCCATTTCCCTCCCCTGTTGTCCTGATCACCAACAACTGCCCTCCCTTAAAGGCCTTGTCCCTCCCAACTGCCCTCCCCTGCTGGCCATCTTGTGGTAGCCATCTTGTGACCAATGAGGGCAGGATCTTTGACCACATGAGGGCAGCCATCTTGTGTGTTGGAGTGATGGTCAATTGCATATTACTCTTTAATTAGATAGGATAGAGGCCTGGTGCATGGGTGAGGGCCAGCTGGTTTGCCCTGAAGGGTGTCCTAGATCAGGGTGGGGGTTCCCTTAGGATGTGGGGCCTCCTGGGTGAGGGGCCTATGGTGGTTTGCAGGCCAGCCATGCCTCCCGGTGACCCAAACTGAGGCCCTGGTATCTGGGATTTATTTATCTTCTACAATAAAAACTTTGTAGCCTGGAGCAGAGCCAAGCCTTCTGCTTGCTCCATGGTGGAAGCAATTTCTGTTGGAATTTATTTATCTTCTATAATCAAAATTTTGTATCCTTAAGCAGAGGCCTGGGCAGGCCAGGGTATGTGGAAAGCTTAGCTTCCTTCAATGCTGGGGAAACCCAAGCCTCCCTCCTGCTCTCTCTGTCGCCACAGCCATTTTGATTGGGATAATTTGCATACTTATTCCTGATTGGCTGGTGGGCTTGGCTTGTGGGTATAGTGGAGTGATGGTTAATTTGCATATTATTGTTTTATTAGATAGGATGGGAATAACTTTTTTAATCTAAGTGGATATATTAGATACAAGTTGATTTAACCTTATTTTCTATTAGCATAGTAATTATCTTTCATTAAAAAGCCTTTCCTCTATTTGCCCAGGCATGTCTCCATGTTTCAGGGGTTGGTTCACACACTGACTTCCAGTGATAGAGGCAGGGCAGGGGTTCTGTACGGGCTCCTCAGCAGTTAGGCATGTAGGTCAATGTTTCCCTTTCCCGGCCAGCCTCGTTCTTTCCAGGGAGCTGAAGGCTTAGGTTGTCCTCAGGAGTGAGTAGAGCCTCTTCTCCCCTCCAGTGAGACAGCAGGGCAGATGCTACAGGAAGGAGTGTTCCTGCAGCATGTGTCTGGCATTTTCATTCCCCACTGCTCCCAACCTGCTTATTAGCAAAGAGAAATGGAAACACTGGTCTGCTTGTCCAGTGTCTGCTCTGGTCCCTGTCTCACAAGCAGTTCTTCGGTTCTCCATTTCTGGAAGACCTGTGATGGGAGAGGGGTTTCTCTCTCCGTCTTTCTCCCTCTCTCCAGTTTCTTCTTCTGTGTCCTGTGGCAGCAGTTGCTTTGACCTTAGCTCCTTGTAACCCCATCATACAAATAAATTCTGCAGCCCCAAGGCAGAGCGCATGCTCTGCTCTTCTCTCCTCTACAGGCTCCTGGTGGGTCTCAGGATGGATTTGATCTTGAAGGAGATGCAAAATAATTGGAGGTTTATACCCCAGTTTAAGATTATGCTGGAGTAAAGAAACAGGTAGGTATTAAATGATATCTATGCTGATACAATATCTATCTCTGATCTTGCTGTTTATCAGAGCCAGTCTCTGCAACCAGGGTCTAACTGCATATGGCCTCTGGGCTGTTTTCAGTATCAGGACCACTAGCTGGAATATACTTCTGTTCTCCTTCAGGCTTATTCTTTATCAGATTTACTTCATGTATGATGAACATGGCACTACTAGACAATGTTAGTGGGTCTAAATTCATTTCCATGCAACCTTTATATTTTATTATTGCTGTATTTTACTAGTTGTGCTGTGGATTAAGCTTTTTTTTTTTTTTTTACTTTGATATTTCTTACAGATTATTGAGGACATGTCCATAATTTTCAAATTGGGTAATTTCTATTAATTTACTTTTCATTTTAGTTAGTCTTTATGTTGTGATTCCAAATTTTTATAAGCCAAACCTGGATTTGTTTTCTGACTGATTGTAGCTTTAGTATTTCAATTAAAAACAAAAACTATTTCTATCTGATTTCTGACAAATTGGTGATTGTTATAAGTATATTTTCTTCTATATCTATCACCCCAGAAATAATAGCTGCTATAAATCCTTGTTTACTAAATACAACATCTGGCTTATTTCATAGTTGGTCTTCACTGATCCCCTTTTCTATTGAATATTAGTCATGTTCTTTAATTTAATTATGTTGAATAATTTTAGAATGAATCTAAAATTCCCTCAGGGAAATTGTGAAAGAGATGTAGAGACTCAGGATTCTGTTTAATTTTCTGAAGAATATTATTCTTTGTTTATTTTTTAATAGGTTAACTTGATTGAACTCATACTGTAAATTCTCCCCTTCATTTTGTAAGAGCTAAAATCAGTGATCAGTCCCATTAGCACTAATTGGACTGCTTGTCATCTGTCTCCAACATGTATAGTTCATAGATGTGATCAAAGTTCTTTTGTGCAACTTGAGATTTCTCCTTCTGGATCTCTCTTTTAAAGATGTTCTAAAATCACTTTCTAGCTGCTACAAAAGCCTAATTCTTGCTCTTCCAGCCATGAGCTTGTATGTTGCTGTCAATTGAGGTCTACCTTCAAAAAGGATTATAAATGGGGGATGGGAATGGGGGTATGAGGACGAATATGTGATACCAAAAAAACAATAAAAACATATTCTGGGATGAAGATTTTAAAAAAAGTACCATAAAAATAGGAAAAACCTCCAATACTGTTTCCTTCTTCCAAGAGTCTAGTATACTGTAGATTGTAACTGCTTTTCTCACTCTCTGTACTTTCATATTATTCTCTCTCTCTCTCTCATAACAGATAGATGTTAAAAATTGTCAAAGAAAAGTCACAAATATGTTAATAATGCCAAGAGACTAGCAGAATTTCATTTTGTGACACAGTAATAATGTTTTCAGTAAAAACAGTATAATAGAAACATAATTTATCATCAAAAGTTCAATTCAGTTAAAATTGAATCATTTTTCATATGCAACACATTCTAATAGATTAGAGACAATAAGCAACAAAATAGAAAATAAGCAAAAAAAATAGCAAAAGTAATTATGTGATTTCATGAAATGCACAGTTGTGGATGCAAGGTGGGTGTGCATAGAGTATTAATGAAAGTATAACTCTAGGTTCCCAAGGCAGTCTCTCTACTGCTTCTACTTATGTATTTTCATTTTCTAATCAGGGTATATTGAATGAGTTCTGACCTTTAGATGTAAATCTTGTTCCAGAGATGACTTCCTCAAAAATCTTAGCAAAGAAAGCCCCAGAGAAGGAGCCTATGGAGTGTCCATGGGCCACAAGCCCAGGCTTCTAGACCATTTTGCAGAGACCTGTAGAGAAAAGAACTAAGCCCAGCACTGCTCAGGAAAGAGAGGTACTTTGGGAAAGAAAACAGGAAGTCACAGAGTTCTTTGAAACTTCATTACCTAATTCCTGTAAATATAATGATGTAGGATTTTGGCAGGCTGTTCACATAAACCCTAGCACACTGTGAGCCTTAATGGTGTGACAGCTGCCCTGCTCTGTAGCTTCCTTTGTATTCACTGGTCCCACAAGATTTCCAAGTTTACACTCATAGCTCTACTCAATTCCGGGAAAATCACTAACCTTGCTCATCTTATTTTTGGGCCATGCCTGTTATTCAGAAACAAAGCGTGGAGATAAGGAGCAGGGGGAGCACTTGGGAAGTATTTACAACATTTCATGCAGCATAATGAGAGGCTTGATTGGTGTTAATATCTGAAAAGATACCAGAAGAAGTGTCATGACAACAAGATCTTAAGACCAATGAAAACCGTGAGTTAAAGTAGGGGTGTCTCTTCATACATTTATTTAACTATCTCTCCTGTTAAAGACATAGCTGTGCCCAAACTGACTCACTCAGCCAAATCTATCTCTCTGTCTATTCTCTGACTTCTCCTTATCTGATTTGCTCATACTGAATTAAAGATGACTTTGTGCATTTTCACCTCTACAACATTTTCCTTGTACCCTTCACTACCCTCAGCCATTCTTAGGCACACATATTTTGAAATTGCTCTGTTCATCAGAGTCATTACCATTATCACATTTCACCTGTGCCATTTACATTTTTTAGAATTGTTTCATACTTTATTAGTCAGGGTTCTCCTGAGAAACAGAACCAATATTAAAGATATATCTTTATATATGTGAAAGTGACTGATTACCACTAATTGGCTCATGTGATTATAGAGTTTGACTAGTTCATGGTCCTGCCTTTTACAAATTGGAGACCTGGGAAAGCTGGTGGTGCAGATTAGTCCAAGTTCAACAACTTGAGAACCAGGGTAATCAATGGTATAAGTCCTAGTTCAAAGGCAGGAGAAAACCTATATCCCCACTCAAGCAGGTAGTCAGGAAGCAAAAGGAACACCTTCTTTCTTCCTCTGCCTCTTTGTTCTTCTTAGACCTTTAATCTAATTTATTGTGATCAAAGATCCAAATGCTAATCTCATCTGGAAGCAACACCCTCATGGACACACCTGGTAATAATGTTTAATCTGGGCAACTAGCGGACAGTCACGCAGACTCATAAAATTACTCATCACAATTACATTCCTGTTTCATTTCTACTATGTTAAGATTATAAAGATTATATGCTAAATGATATTAGAAAACATTGTCCATCAAAAGACACTTATGTAGTTTGATCTATGTAGTTCATTTAGAAAAAAGTGTCATCTTGTCCTTATTGAATCCAGGTTCTGAAAGCCAGCCCCATGGTGCTACCAGAGAGCCATGAGAACAGCTTCAGGGAGCAGAACAGAGGTAGGATTAAGAATGTAGTCATTGGCTCCTCTGAGCTAAGGCACAAAGTGTAACTATTTCCTTGAGGTGCATATGAAGGCCTCCCATTGGTCTATAGATTATCATTTCCTGCTCCTCCCCTAAGAATTTAACTTTCATTTTCATTCTGTACCTTTAAATCCATTTTGTGAACTTCAGGTCTCTGGTTTGGAGAGTGAATCCTGATCTTCAAATAGCTGAAACTCCAGAACAAGTGAATAGACATTTTTTTCCTTGGAAGAATGGGGGTGAGTTTCACTGTTCTCTGAGCTGGGTCTGGGGGGTGCTAGTCTACCCAAAACTGCTTCAGTCATTGGGGCAGGGGACACAGCCCCTCCCACCTCTGCCATTAGATACTGGGGCTCTAGGAGCTCCCCTGTGAGGGCTGCCCTGGCCCAATGGCTGGGGCAGAGCCTTGGTGGCTGGTAGAGGCCACTTCAGTAGAATCACAATGGTGATGCAAGGGTGATAGTTCTGGGAGGAGATGGGGGCCTGGAACTCCCAGTCAGTTTTGTCCATTGGGGGCTGCAGCATGGGGATGGGGCTGGTGCATCCAGGAGCTTTGACAGGTTAGATGGAGATGCACCTCTGTTCTTATAAGGTAGGGGGTGGAGCACCTGTGTCACCCCCTATCCCAGGTCTCTGCCTCAGGTGAGAGTCCAACAGACTTCCACTCTTCCTGCAGGAGAGGGATTTTCTTCTCACACGTCTAGATACTTATCAAATCTCTACTTTTGTATGGTCCTGGAGCAAGTCCTAAAAGACCTTTAAGTCATGTGCACCTGCATTTTGAAAAGGAATATCCTATATGCTACACCCGTAGGGTTCTGGACACAAGCCTTGTTAGTTTTTGAAGGCAGACACTCTGTGGGCTCAGGTTTCTGGTGCAGATCCCCAGAGTGCCTAAGTCCTCAAGGAAGGGCTTCACATTTGTGATATCCTTCCAGCACATACACTACTCCTGTTCCCATATCTATCTGTCTACCTACTGTGAAGCCCTGGTCACTGCTTAGGTAATAGTGGGGTCAAACTCCATGAGTGATGACTCAAGCTCCTCTGCACTTTCGTCTTCTGTGTCCTGTGGCCAGTTGCTTTGACCTTAGCTCCTTGTAGCTCCACCATAAAAATAAATTCTGCAGCCCCAAGGTAAAATGCATAACCCTCCTCTTCCCTACTCTCCAGGCTCCTGGTGGGTCTCAGGATTGGTTGGATCTTGGATGAGATGCAAAATAATTGAAGGTCCCTACCCCAAATTTGGATCATGCTGGAGTCATAAACAAGGGGTAGATATTAAAGGATACCTACCCTGATACAATGTCTATCCCTGTTCCTGCTCCCGGGGTTAATTGCATATGGCCTTTGGGCTATTTTCAGTATCTGGACCACTAGCTGGAATACACTTCTGTTCTCCTTCAGCCTCCCTTATCAGGTTTCCTTCATGTATGATGACCATGGCACTAGTAGACAGTGTTTGCAGGTCTAAATTCATCTCAGTGCAGCCTTTATAATTTTTCCCTTCAGAGAACAGAGCAAAGGGAAAATTTATTAACTGATACTTCAGATCTTTTACCATCAAACTTTGGCAACCATCAAGACATGAATATCTACTGAGATCTTTTCTTTTATTATTGCTTCATAGTCCCATTTACTTGAAGTTCCTGAGAGAGCTCCTGATCCTAGACTGTAGCCACAGGGCCATACCGAGGCCAGGTGGGAGGATGAGCATCACTGTGTTACCACTCTGTGATACTTTCTGGTAACTTAACAAACATTCAAACCTGTGAAAAATTTTTGTGTGCTTATTTCAGCCAAACTGCCCACAGTTGTTGGGAGCAGAATCTCAATGGACTGAGATAATGTTCCAGAGAATGGTAGTTTTGCCCCTTATATTATACACTAGAGCAGTGGTCGGCAAACTCATTAGTCAACAGAGCAGCAAATCGCAGCTCTTGAGCCACATGTGGCTTATGAGCCGAAGTTTGCCTACCTCTGCATTAGAGGTCTGATGCACGAAGTGGTTCACTGGTGGGGTCCAGCTAGCCCTCCCTGATGAGGGCCCATCAGGGGGGAGGGCAGGTTGGGGTGAAGGTCTGGTTTGTGGGCTGACCCCATACCTGATACCTGATAGGAGTAAGGGGGCCACTTGGGGGTGGGGCCAGCCAGGAGCAAGGGGCCACGGTCATTATGGTCATTCTGCCATTCGGTCACTGGGCTTTTATTATATAGGATTAGAACCAAAAGAAAAGATATAGGTGTGGGCATGGAATCCATTGGTGATAGATTAAGTAGGCTGAAGCAGAATAAAGCGAGGAGGAGAGGGGATGGAACCTGTGGGATTGATTATAAAGTAAAATAATAGGCACATTCTACTTTTATTTAGGTGGGTGTAGGATGGTTAACAGTCAACAATTAACTCAATAACAATGAGGGTCTCTGTGGTCTCTGTACTGTGATGCATGTGCTTTGAGGGGTCAGAAAAAAGGAAAATTACCTGGACATTTCAAACATACGTTATCATAGATGCAAAAGGACATTAGACAGCCTGAGTTAAAGTAAAGGCAGCTCATCTTCAACTTGGCTATAGTCTCATGAGTTTTCAAGACAACAAAAACAAACAAAAACTTATTAGAAGACTTATCCAATATTACCTTTATAGGAAAAAAAGAACCTAGGCCTGATGTTAACCCTTTTTTCTCAGTTATCTAATCTAACTTTCCATCCTTTCCTCTTACCTCACCCTATGTTTCACTCATCACCTGCTCTCTATATCCTGAAAGCTATTATCATCTCTCCCCTGGGCAACTGTATGTGCATCCTACTCATCTCCCCAGTCCCCCACTGGATCCATTGATTACTCCACAGCCTAACACTGGTGATTAATTTTGCTCTTGGCAAAGTATTCCTAAATGTTACATAATTCACTAAGTGCCATAAGTCACTGTAGGCTCATGTGATACCAAATGCCTAGCAGTTTTCTCACACCAGCCACACTGGCATTTCCATCTCAGACAGTATGGTGCATCTTCAATGAACAGGTCATTTCCTTTACCTAATTTTTTTTTCTCTTCCAAATGCCTTATTTCCTTTATCTTCCTCAGTTTCCAGTTCAAACCTTAGGTATTTAAGTTTGAATTGCTGGACAACCTTTACCTGCCTCAATAATTGATTTCCCAACAACATACACATCTCTCTAGTAGTGTTTTTCACATCAGGATTATATATATATATATATATATATATATATATATATATATATATATATATATATATATATATATATATATAAATAAGATATATATATATATATATATATATATATATATATATATCTTAATTTACTGTTACTTTTCAAGTGGATGTCAGGGTCATAGTGGTTTAAACTCTCTGTTTAGACTCATTTCTGTGTTTATGGGTATTAGTTTAGTTGTTAGCATGTAATTCAAAAGATGAAAAGTTAGTTGAATGATCTTGCCTAATATTTTGAGATTTCTATTGCAAGTCTGAAAATTACTTCATTTGTGTTCCTGTTTTTTCAGATATGTGACTTGTGTGATCCTATGAATATCTTTATGCTATCTCCCTCCCCATCATCAATATGCATACACACCATTAGGCTCCTGTCAATGTCCTTGGCATATTTCCAGGCAAACGTGAAATTTTACTATTTATCCAAGAAGATTCCCCAGAACCTCTTAAGTTGCCTATTTGGTCTTTGATGAACCCTGTAAGGTAGTAAAAGGGATGCTGAATACATTAGAATCACTGCAACTCTGTATATTGAAAATAAATGATGTTTGTAAGACACTCTTTACTTATGTACACATCTGTTAAAGGGTTTGCTCTTGCCATTTACACAAACACATTGTCACATATTATGTTATAACTAGAGGCCCATTGAGTAAAAAGATTTGTGCAATAGGCCTTCCTTTCCTTGGCTTCCAGCACGAGTTTTCCTCTGGCACCTAGGATCCAGTCCTTCACTACAGCCAGAGTCTGCCTTCTTTGTCTTTGCTGCAGGCTCCGGCCAGAGTCTATGACCTTCATCTTTGCAGCAGACTCTGGCTGGATTCTTCAGTCTTCATCTTCCCTGGGCCAGAGTGCTACTCCTATAGATCCCTTCGCCTCCTCCTCTCTTCCCCCTCCTCACTCTCATAGCAAGCATTCTGGCCTGCCCAGCCAGTCTACACCTGGAGCAGCCATATTTGGCCTTCTACTTTACATATTCCCTCCTGATTGTCTGCTGGGCATAACGGAGTGATGGTTCACTTGCATGTTTCTATTTTATTAGTGTAGATAATGAAATTTTTTTCAAACATATAGTAAATGATCGCAATGGTTGCACTATAAATAAGCAAGTCAGAGCAGGTCTTTATGGTAAAGGAACATGAAAAGAGATAGTTAACTGAAGAATGAGAGTGAGTCCACTGATACCAGGACAGCATTGCTTGATGAGAGAAGAGCAGGTATAAATGCCCAGACCTAAAAGTGGTTTATGGATGTGTTTTCCATAGGAAAGATGAAGCAGGAGAGATGCTGGGTCACACAGACATCTTTTCTTTGTAAAAAAGACTACAGGTCATCCTTTGGTTTAGTAAAACCAAGGGACAGTAACAACCATTGCACAGATGAAAATGAAATTTGTCATGTCAGAGTAAATAAAAGTATTTAAAATTCTTATGTGCCTGGCTGGAATTTCTCAGTAATTACAGTGTCGGCCTGTGCATAAAAGGGTCAAGGACACCTCTCAGGGTTGCAGGTTTGATCACCACCCAGATCTGGGTATCTGTGGAAGGCAAGGCAACCAGTTGATCTCTCTCTCTCTCTCTCTCTGAGTGTGTGTGTGTGTGTGTGCTTGTGTGTGTCTCTCTCAATGTTTGTCTCTCATCCCCTTTCTCCCTCCTACTCTGTCTAAAAATCAATGGCAAAAATATCGAGTGAGGATTAACAAAACAATTAAAATAAATAATATTGTAATAAATAGCCTTTAAAAAAAAACAAACAAAAAAAACCACAGGCTTTCGTGCTCCTTACTTTGACTCTCTACTTTTTTCTGTTCTGTCCTTTTATATCTATTCTTGCCCCATCCTTCATTTCTACACAATTAGCAACTTTATTCTACCATTCTTACTCTGACCCTCTTTAATCTTCCTAATCAGGCAAAAATCAGTGAGCAAAAGGAGCCGCAAATCAGGACAGATAGGAGCAAGGAACCAGCTGCGATGGCTTCAGGAGTCCTGGTGAACATAAAGGAGGAGGTAACCTGCCCCATCTGCCTGGAGCTCCTAACAGAACCCATGAGCCTGGACTGTGGGCACACATTTTGCCAAGGCTGCATCATTGCAAACAATAGTGAGTCTATGATGGGCCAAGAGAGCAGCTGCCCCATGTGTAGGATCAGTTACCAGCCTGAGAACCTGCGTCCCAATCGACATGTGACCAACATTGTGGAGGCGCTTAGGGAGGTGAAGTTGAGCCCACAGGAGGAGCAAAAGAGGGATCTCTGTATGCGCCATGGAGAAAGACTCCTGCTCTTCTGCAAGGAGGATGAGAGGATCATCTGCTGGCTTTGTGAGCGGTCTCAAGAACACCGAGGTCACCAAACATTCCTTTTGGAGGAGATTGCCCCGGAGTACAAGGTAATAGACCAGGATGGAGGAAAGACAGGGCAGAAAATAGCACTTGATGAGAAATCTCAAGTTTTGTATTTGATGGTAATTATCTTGCCACCATAACTCTGAGGCCTGTGGTCACTTTTCTTCCTATGTTTACCTTCCAAGGCCTGCAGGACATTTCTGTACATTCCACACAATTACAAATGATGAGCAGTACCTAAAAGAGAATATTTTCAGATCTTGTGCTAATAGGTAGAGGTTTTTGGTACACAAAACAAACTGTCGCCATCCCTTTAGACATGAGAGGTAGGCAGTGGGTGGATTGAGACCTAAATTCTTTCCTTACTACAAGATCAAGTATTTTCTTCTAGGGCAAATAAATAAATAAATAAATAAATAAATAAATAAATAAATAAAATAAAATCTTTTTTCTCTTGAATGGTAATAGTGATTTCTATCATCTGCATGTGAAACACCACATAACCATCAGATTTCCTTCAAACCACAGATGCCAATGATCATTTTACAGTTTCTGTAAATTCTAAACTCTTTAGAGATGAACCTGAATTCTTCTCATTAATCCTCTCTTCTGATGAGGAGAGAGCCCATATCTTGACCTTGACGTGATTCTTCTCTCATAGGAAAAGCTCCAGTCAGCTCTGGACAGGCTGAGGGCAGAGCAGCAGAAAGCTGAAAAATTGGAAGATGACCTTGCAGAAGAGATAACTTCCAAGTTGGTAGGAGGAGACCCTTTCTCATAATTAACCAAGAATCTGGGCAGGACTTTGCGTTTTAGTCACAAGGAGCTCCCTTCCTTCTTGTTTTCTGACAGTTGACATGTCCAGTTTCATTGATTAACCATTTTTTTATCCTTTCCCTGATAGAGATAAACATATCACAAAATAACACAAATATTTATAGGTTGGTTATTCCATAGAGAGATTCTGGTGAGTATGGGTAGTGAATTCTATATTCATTTGTCATTATTTATAACCTTAACTATTCCAGGGAATACAGTTGACAATGGCTCATGGCTCTGTTACATTGCTCAACATAGGCTGAGGATGGGGTGGGGTGAGAAGTAATGCATGGAGGCAT